ATTACAGTGTGAATGATATAGTATTTTTTGTATATTAGTTTTTGTGGATAATTGAATCATCTGTGTTTTAACTTCTTCAGATTATTTTTTCCTAAAGGCAATAATGTAAAGACGTTTTATTATTACAGTGTGAATGATATAGTATTTTTGGGATATCAGTTTTTGTGGGAAATTGAATCATCTGTGTTTTAACTTCTTCAGATTATTTTTTCCTAAAGGCAATAATGTAAAGACGTTTTATTATTACAGTGTGAATGATATAGTATTTTTGGGATATCAGTTTTTGTGGGAAATTGAATCATCTGTGTTTTAACTTCTTCAGATTATTTTTTCCTTATTGTTGAACTGAGCACGTGAGACGTTCGTCGTGAATTATAGCGTTTGTTATAGCGCGACTATTGAAATTAAGTGTATCGCAAAGTTATATTCAGAAAGAATAAACCAGTTTTATTTAAGAAAGGACTTGTGTCGCTAAAGTTTCGTCGGAACGAATTTACGGAAAATTAACTAACGAACGGAGGTGTAACAATATCTTCTATATCCTGCAGGTTTTATTAAAGCTTTTTGTATCTTAGAATCTTCGAAAGCATCCATAAATATATCACTCAAAACAGATGATAAATGGGAACCCAATTTTAAACTTTTAACTTGTTGATAAAATGTATCACTAATTTTAAATACGCAATTTCCCACATACAGTTTGGTAAAATTACTTAATTCTTTGATACGTTATAATGGTGAGTCTTCAATATCAAGTAATATCACGTTTTATCTACTGGAATATTTGTGGACAAAGAAATAACATCAAGAGATACAAATAGTCATTGTCCTAGGTTTCAACGTCTTTGAGTTCCTACACAAAATCAACGGAGTTTCTAACAGTATGTTTACACTTGTTAATATTTAAATCATACAGATTCGAAACTAATAACTTTGCTAAAAAGTGTGTACTAGAATTTAAACTACTTACAGTGGGTCTATATGGTTAAAAATCTTGATAAATATTTTACCTTTCATTGTGACAAAAAAACGTCGGTTGTGTATTTTTTTATTCTTAACAATAGTAGTAGTAGTAGTAGCCAAACAGTTAGCGGTGGGTGTTGTTGACAAGCTTCCTTCCTGCTTGTCGATCACTTCAAAAGTAGGGACAACTAGCGCAGATAGGCCATCGAGTATCTTTGCGCGAAATTCAACAAACAAATCCAATAACTTAGGTCTTGAGTAGAAAACAAAAGTTTTATTGAATCTCTACGTGTTATTTTTATCATTTTAGAAATTTCTAATAATTTTCACTCAACTGACTATTTTAACTTGAGAAGAGACAAAGCTAATGATATTTTATTAATTGGAAATGCTCCTGTAATATTTTGGACTACAAAGATTTATGCATTTTAACACATAATAACGATAAGTAAAAAATCCGCAACCTGATGCTTTCTTATTTACGGAAGTATTGGGTATGCAGACTTTCTAACATTCATAATTTTCTTATTTTTTTCAACCATTCTATCTAATTTTCATAAATTGCACTTCAAAACCCTAAAAAAGTTATTTTTTAAAAAAATACTAATTTTATATGATTTTATGTCGCGTCGTTAGGGTAAGACATGTAGCTGTGAACAACTTTTAATTTTGGATTTTATTAAACGTTCACGGATGTGGTACTTTTAGACTCTCAATAACATTATCTTTGGTTGATATAAAGATATAATGATTCAACAAGTATTATCACACAATGTAAAAAATGTTTTTGCTGACTTCAGTCATTTTAGCCAACTCTAAATAAGATTAAGGGTTTTTATAGAATTTTAAAGCAAAATATTGGAAACTAGAAAAGCTGATACAAAAAAGTTGGAAAATTGGGACCGCTATAAAGCTTGCACATCAGATGTATTGAACATGGAAGTTTGGTGAAAATATTAATACATATGTGTGTGTTGCATGTCCGGCCGACTTATGAACTCTGGTATTAAACGTCCTGAAGCACACAAGATGTGCGATCGAGATACTATTATATTACTCTTGGTAGAAGCCAGTAAAGAAATATTTGTTAAAAATTATTATCAATGTTATTGTGCTGTAACGTTACACATCACATCGATCTAGATATCACGCTTCGCCAGCGTAGTATATTGTATTGCGTAAATAATATATATATATATATTGCTGTCTTTACATAACATTCGTTACCAATTATGAAAGAATATAACATGCATAATGGGGACTAAGTTTGCTTATACTGTAGAAGAAGACTGTAAATATATTTCACACACTAATTTATGTTTACACTTAACATAATTCTCCTTTAAAATCATGTTAAAAACGAAGATAATCACATACCAGTTTAACGCCTTATATTTACATTTACTGACAAAATATGACCAAAAGTGTGTCATTTTGTTATTAACTACATATTTCACTGTAGAACACGCTAGATCTTGTCAAACTTAAGACTTATAAGTGAAGGTAATGTAATTTTTTGAAATTAAAAATGTAACTTTTTTTTATAACGAAGTACTAAGTGGTTAAACATTAAATTATGGTTCGATTAAAAATTATGAACTTATTTCAAGTAAAAGTGTCACACACGCTTACTTTAAATAAATAATATAAAGATATACTAATAAATTTTCCTTAAAGATCTAGAATAGTATCATTTATAATTCAAACTTTTTTTCAAGTACCATTAGAATTCTTTTTCATCAAGTTAAAAGGCTAAGTTTTACACAAATGTTTTTTGGAACTTATTAATGTCTCAAATTTAATTATTATTAGTTTCATAATATTATGTACTATCCTGTTCTAATAAAATCTAAGCGTTTTCTATTAGAAGCTTGTGTGTGTGTGTGTGTGTTTTTATATAATGCTGCCGAAGTTCAGATCGGTGTTTTTATTCATTCAAATTATTTTTTGTGCCTTTACTATTTAAAATTAGTTCGGTATGCATCAAACAACAATGCTTATGTTGTATAAAGAAAAATCACCGAATTTTAGTGCTACAACAAATATCACTAACTATTGGGTTTGTTTGAAGTTCGCGCAAAGCTACACGAGGGCTATTTGCACTAGCCGTCCCTAATTTAGCAATGGAAGGCATCTAGTCATCATCACCATCCGCCAACTCTTGGGCTACTATTTCACCAACGAATAGTGAGATTGACCGTCACGTTATAATGCTCCCACAGCTCAAAGGACGAGCATGTTTGATGGGATGAGGACTCGAGTCCGCGACCCTCACATGGCTATTAACTATTAACTGCCAACTAAAATAGATAAAACACCTTAACTACTTGGCCATGCCGGGCCCACTAACTATTAACTGCCAACTAAAATATATATAAATAAAGGACGTAGTTTAAGAATGATATTATTTCTTCTCTTTAAGTATAAAACACACATATTTCACAAAAAAAAACAGGACACTTTATTTCTATCAGTAAGAAAAAGACAGCTTTTTTTCAATGGATTTTACAAAAATAGTTTGTTTTTTTTAAATTAACATATAAACCCTATAACAATCATACCGTGTTAAAGTCAAGACGGAAAGTTCTTGGTGGTGTATTTTGTGGTAAAATATAATATATTTGGTTATATTTTTTCTTATCCAGTTTTACTGTCTACAGTTTTTTAAAGCAACACGTACAGATTGCTAACATCAATTGTATTATAGCTAAAACATTACTTTCACGTTTTTACTCTTAAAATAGACATTGCAAGTTCAACAAATTATTTCCTAAACGATGTCGTAAAAAACTATTATTTAATCTAATCTAAAAAAAATTATAAATCTCCTTCTTTTAGGCAAATACATTTCAGTTCATTAAGCATTGGCAAAATATTAATATCAAAACTTGTAGTAATCAACAAACAAAACATGGAACATACATATATTGAAAAAACTTCTTTAAGATATAAATGAAAGAAGTTAATACAAGTGCACGTCTCTGTGATATTCACAGAGCTTGTATACTTTGTCAGTCCAGTAGAAACACAAAGCTATCTGGGGGTGTGTAATATTGACTAGCGTATAAAAGACTGTACAAGGCAAACTTCCTTTTCTAAACCTTGGAGACTTCCAAGTTTCAAATATTATCAACATGTTCAAGGATCCATGACCGGTAAAATACAACTTCTGTGTAAAGGCCAGGAAGATATTCTCGACCACAACCAATTCCCGCTGAAACTACTCCAACTACGGTAAATATGTTGTTTTTATTCATGTACAGAGGACTACCAGAATCTCCCTGGAAATATTTATCAAAATCATGTAATTTCATTACTTATACTAATACCTACTTTGCTATACGATATACGAAATTATCCAACAGTAACAGTTAAGCTTTAGCTTCACTAGATAAAGTTTGTTTGTTTGTTTGTTTTTAATTATGCACAAAGCTACACAAGGGCTATCTGTGCTCTGCCCACCACGGGTATCGAAACCCGGATGCTAGCGTTGTAAGTCCGCAGACATACCGCTGTGCCATTGGGGGGCACACTAGATAAAGTAAGACAAAAGTCTGTTATCTCACTTCATAGTCATACGTAATTCTACAGAATATTTTCTCTGAACTTTAATACACTGCATTGTCTGAGGTTTTAATTACATATATATTTAAGAATTGACACAACATACTTATATATTATCTAAATAAAACGATGAAAATGTAAATCCTATTTTCTTATATAAGAATTACGTACTCGAATGACAGCTTTTAATAAAGCCACTTATATTGATTGTTATACAGAAACATCTTATGTTTATGTATTTGTTAACCATTACCTTAAACGAATGAGAGGCCACGTTACTACATGTTCACTTGTTCTATTCGAGTCATTTTAAATAAGCAGCATGAAGTCATTACATTATTGCCTTAAGGGAAAATAATCTAAAGTAGAAGTTAAAACATAGATGATTCAGTTTTTCCGAAAAAATTATCATTCCCAAAATACTATACCATTCACACTGTAATAATAAAACGTCTTTACATTATTGCTTTTCTCTGTCAACATATATTCAATTACTCATCCTTCCCGTCGCTTCGTGGCCGGTCTTATATATACAAGACTACACTATATCTAGAAGGATCCCGAGATTTAAGGAAAGGACGTGAATGTTCGAGAACGACGTGGCGTGATACTAGTCACGTGACCTCGATGTCGTAACACTGCCCCTTCCTTAGTATTGTTCGTCCCGAACAATAGCCACTTACATTAAACCAATAACAGTTAACAATAACTTAATTAAATGTACAGAATTACAAACACAAAATTACAATTCAACAAAGTCTCTTAATTTTATGGGACGTATCTTCTTCCGTACTGGTCTCCGTCTCGTTGGCTTCTGCTTCACGTGGGGTTCATCTGCTTCATCAGGAAATGTCTTACCGTCGGTAACAGTCACATCAGTGGTAGTAACTTCATCAAGAGCTTCACCGTTTCCCTTCTCAAAACTGAGTAGAGTTTCTTCTTCGACAGTGGCTTTTTCAGGTGACACTTCTTCAACAGCGTCATTTGTTCCTTTGTTCACTTCGTCCCAACTGAAATGTCCTGGACCGTGATAACGTAAAAAGCCTGTTGGCATGCACCACTTTTGGCTTACCTTGCCGACCACAATTTAGATTTTAGGTTTACGTTAAATTATATATATATATTTATTGAACTTGAAAACTGCGATGTTACTGTGTTCATTGGTTTCATGTGACCAATTCTGGGCCGTACGTAGCTAGTGGTTAGTTTATCTCAGTGCATCCCCGGTTCATGTCCCGTTGCCTCTCTCCGTATTTTAGGGCTGTATATTATGGTTTAAGAATAACGGTCAAATCCCACTATTCGATTAGAGTAGCCCAAGAATTGTTGACTAGCTGCCTTCCCTCTATTCTAAGTCTTTAGTATTTAACATACTGTATTCCTCAGGCCACAAGATGGCACTCTCGTACAGACATTGTGTAATTTAAGTTTATTGAAAAACTATACAATTATAACTGGAGATCGAAATTAGCAAAATAATCAAACCTTTATTCAAAGCGTAAAGTTCAACGTTATGCTTATCTATATCCGCTTTTGAGTGAAACTGCCTGTCGCTAGGTGTCAGTTTAAAAGCACTATATTTTTTGTTTGTTTGTTTGAAGTTAAACACAAAGCTACACAATGGGCTATCTGTGCTCTGCCCACCACGGATATCGAAACCTGGTTTCTAGCGTTGATAAGATGTTTCTCAATAAGAATAATATGAACGGTTTTCGGTCACGTGTATTTTTATGTTTAGATATTATTGTGGGCGTGATGAAAAGATACAGAAGAAAATGTCGTTAATCTAAGATAGAAAGTCCAATAAGCCAACTTATCAGGTAGGTAGCATTGATTCTGAATATGTTAGCAAGCAATGGTACTTGAGAGATAGATTTTTAGACCAAGTCATACTGGTCGTAGAACTATATATATAATTCAGGTTGATGAAAAAGCTGTATTATAAAGGTAACCATAACTGTCAAGGCGGTAGGTACTCTGTGAGGCTTGTTTTAGTAGTATTCGACTAACTTGAAATTAACCGTTAGGTTGATACATCTTTCCTTTGATTCGCAATGTATTTATCTTTCATTTTAGACGTGTAAACAAAAACCTGTTTCTTTTGGCTTGCTATATACACGAATAGTTCTTCTCCTGAAACTTTGCCGAGTGGTTCGCGTGCCGGGCTTTGAATCCGAAGGTCTATGGTTCGAGTCCCATTGCCAACAAAATCGCGCTATGCACTTTGGAACCATGGGTGCATTGTAAGAGTGATAGTCTCGAAGTTCAAGGGAGGTCCAATTCAATCTACACTTTGATCAACGTGTGTTATTGGGTTATAATAGTTTCATAGAATTACATTCCTCATCATTATTGGGTTATAATAGTTTCATAGAATTACATTCCCCATCATTATTGGGTTATAATAGTTTCGGAGAATTACATTCCCCATCATTATTGGGTTATACTAGTTTCGGAGAATTACATTCCCCATCATTATTGGGTTATACTAGTTTTGGAGAATTAAATTCCCCATCAGTAACCCTGAACATAGTTGGATCAAAGTGTAGATTGAATTGGACCTTCCTTAGACTTCGAACTTAAACAATATTCGGAATACTAAGTTTATTTATTTGAAACCATGTTGAGAAAGGGAGATCGTTACAGAATGTTAAAATATCCTACTGACAACATATGTTACTCTGTGATGTATGTTTCATAGACGTTTAATGTAAACTTGTATAGTTTTGTTGTATTTAAACCCTTGTTTTTGAAAATAGGTGGCAATTTACAGAAACTTTTGCCATTTTTACCAATAGGCTGTAAACGTGGTTTGCAGGATGATGGGGAGGCCCGGCATGACCAGGTGGTCAGGGCGCTCGACTCGTAATCTGAGGGTCACGGGTTCGAATCCCCGTCACACCAAACATGCTCGCCCTTTCAGCCGTGGTGGCGTTATAATGTGACGGTCAATCCCACTATCCGTTGGTAAAAAAGTAGCCCAAGAGTTGGCGGTGGGTGTTGATGACTAGCTGTCTTACACTGTTAAATTAGGGATGGTAGCGCAGATAGCCCTCGTGTAACTTTGCGCGAAATTCTAAACAAACAAGGTTGATGGGGTGGATTTCTATGTAGATATTCTACAAGATATTTTAAATTCGGTGTGTCGGAATACAAGTAAATTTTCTTTATCAAAGTTACGTATTTGTACAGAAACTAAACGGTTATGATTTTGACTTGTAACTTAGAATCACTTGATATAATTCCATATACAATATAACGTGCAATTTCATAGTTGTATGAAAATTAAGATATACAATATAAATTAAAAATCAGTAGTTGCAAGCGAAGTAGTAACTTACAATATTTTATGTAAATATATAAAAGTTCGTATTCGTCTTCTTTCAGATTTGTGGACAGAATTAAAAACGCCTGATAAGAACATCATAAACATTATATGCTCAATATTGTTGTAGTGGTTACTGTAGTACTTTGAATTCTTAACACCATGATGACCACAGTAAACGAAGCAGAAGAAGAAGACAACAGCCTTTGGTATAACGGTATGTGAAACTTTACATACGTCTGTCTGTGTGTCTGTAAATATATTTTATTCGGCGACGAAAACGTAACACCTACGCCGTCAGATCTGTCATAGCCGGGTGGAGGGTTACTAGATGTAGTCATTATATTCCACGCTACTTTACTATTGTCTGAGGGTCGCGGGTTCGAATCCCCGTCCCATCAAACATGCTCGCCCTTTCAGCCGTGATGGTCAATCCCACTATTCGTTGGTAAGAGAGTAGCCCAAGAGTTGGCGGTGGGTGGTGATGACTATCTGCTTTCCCTCTAGTCTTTCACTGCTAAATTAGGGACGGCCAGCGCAGATAGCCCTCGTGTAGCTTTGCGCGAAATTCAAAACAAAACAACCAAACTTTACTATTGATGGGGGAGGAAGGAAGAGGTCACATGAACCTGACCCTCCCAGATCTTTAAAAACCTAAATCCCGATACGGAAGAAGCCGCGAAGCTATTGATGGGGGAAACATTTAAAAACACTGTTGCTTACCCCCTTCCTTTCCCACATTCTTGACCAAACGACCTTGAGATTCACCTCCGTGTTCCCTACCATAAGATTCTTTACCTTTCCCTGTCTGATGGTAGGAAAGGTAACATCACCGAAAGATTACCAGCAGAAGCTGAAAGTCATTTATTGACCAGCGCAAGAAAAAAGAAGGGATAACTTACCTTAAAATCAGCAGCGCAAGGAATAAGATAGAATAACTTACCTTAAAATGAGCAGTTAAAAATACATTAATAACACTTTCACTCTGTATCAGGCCGGGTGTGGACTAAAGTTTAGCGTGCTGGAATGCGTACCTGAAAGTCCAAGGTTCGAACTGCGATATACCACTGAACATGCTCCGTTTCTCCGGCTATTAATAAATTATAACCGTTCCAGCCAAAACCCATTTCTCAAAATTAAAAAAAAAAATCAAGAGAGAGTTATAAAAGATTGTTCCTCGACAGAAAGCTAATGAATTCTGTATATTAACTTACGAAATCATTGGTTAATATTTGAAGAATGTTCGCATAAACTTATTAAACCTCTTAGAAACTGCCTATTCTTAGTTTTCTTTACGTCCTAGTTACAATTTGATGAATTTTAATGGTAGTAATTTCGAAACTGTAAATAAAATTAGAGCTTCATATTTCATAGACTGTTTCCCAGGAACAGTAACTTGCTGATTTATTCGTCTTAAGTAGCGACGAGGGATTTGTGAACGTTTTATTGTTTACTCCACTTTATCGTTTCGATGTAAAACTCCGGAAATTGCGATGATTTAATTAAAAAGCTTTAATTTTATACGGTTATTTTAAGATAGTGGTGCTCTAAGTACACGATGGCAGTAGTAAATACTTAGGTTAAAAACTGTAGAGATGAACATATGAGTTTGAGAATATAAAAGCTTATTAATGTAATTGTTTTGAACATATTCATACGCCATTCGATATTAAGACGTGCATCTCTTACCATTATCTCTGTTGACTGTCTTGATGGGAAATCGAAATAACCATTATTGACCAACAGTTGTTTATTTTTGTAATTTAATATATTAAAGCTACTTAATATAAATTAGGTTAGATTAATATAAACTTTTACTGTTTGTTTGTAGTTAAGCACAAAGCTACACATTGGGCTATCTGTGCTGTGTCCACTACACGAATCGAAACCCGTTTTTAGCGTCTACAAACATATTGTTTGTTTATTTAGTAATTTCTCGAGCAGCATTTTCAAGTAAACTAGATCCAAAATGATCCGAATTGAACCATATTCTGTTATTATATTTGTGTAAGCCTTTAGATAGTTTTTAAGTGAGCTACTCGTACAGGTGAACTGGTTTTCACAGTGCGTGATAGCCTCGGGTATCGTTTACTGTAATGGCTATTATTTGGAAACTTTTTTTTCTTTCACTTTGAATGACAAACCACGTAGCATACCCTATAATCTGGACAATGATACCAGAAGGTCATTTCTTTTGTGCTTTGATTCTATTCAGTTATCAGCCATTGATCAGTTGAAAGTGACCCGTTAGCGTTAAGACAGAAGATGGAACAGTTAAGAAAGACGAATTTTGTTGCTGACAAAGACACTGCAGTGCTCGCTGCTATGGATTTTCGTGTGTAGTTGATGTATAAAAAAAAACAACAACCTTGAAACGCTCGCTAATTAAAATTGTATCTTGTGAAAAAAAACAAAACACACATACACCTGTCGTTCGATTCTATGAGAATTTCAGTCTGTTCCCAAACTGAAACTCTGAAAACTCTGGTTAATATTTGAAGATCTAAACGCTTTGTCACGTGGTTCAAATTCATGATTGTGCATATGAAGATACTATCATTCACAATACTCCAAAGTAACCACTTGTGAAGATTTAAGTTTTCTGTTTGAATGTTATGAATAGCTACTAAGCTATTTCTCAGTATTTGTATCATTTCGAATGATGATGACTATTGATGAAGCTAGAATTTATGTATTCCATAAACGCCAAAATCCGTGGTTCGATTCCCGGCGGTGGACACAGAAGATAGCCTAATGTATGTGGCTTTGCTCTAAAACAAACGTCATTTGTTTTGTCATTTATTTTATATATGTGTGTGTGTGTGTGTTTATATATATAAACACACACATATAAACACACACACATTACATTCGGGTATTTACCATTCTGGATAAGGCAACACTGTTCCGAATCTTTTGGAATCACAGTAGAATTGTGAGCACAGTAATGTAAAGTATACATTTTTTTCTACTGGTCTTTTA